CCCCCCGCTCCCCCAGCCCTTGTTTCTTTTACGATAATTAATTAGTTCAAGCAAAGTTCAAAGGTTTATAGGTATCAGTTGGCCCTAAAGGCTTACCTTTCAAATCGAGTGTTAGCGTGCATAAAGTAACTCGGATTCTTTTGTCGCCGATTCAGGACTTCTCTCACAGTTTCTTCGACACCTTTGACCATATTTGGAGTCTCAACCATTTCCCGAAAGTCGCTAAGGGCTTATTTGCAGTGAGAGATGAAACTCGTCGTCGAATCTGTGAAGAAGTTTTGGAAGCCTTCAACACAGAAGTCATTCCACAGAAAGCTCACTTTCGCAAGGGTAAGGTGTGATGTTTAGTTGTATTTCCACTTTCACTGAGGAAAATAATGGTGTCCTAATTCTGCTGTCTTCTGACAACAAAAACCTATATGCGTAATTAGGTTAAGTAGCGTTTTTCTACAAGGGAGAAAACCTTTTTCATGACGCGCCTTTCTATCTTGGTTTTATGACTGTACAATTAAGGGAGTTTTGATCTTTTGAAAATATTATGTGTTATGACATAACTGCATGTCGATATTGTTATGACAAAAGACATTTTAATCAGTTACTCCTTAACTATTTACTGTATACCTCAGCAAATCAGACAAAAGTTACACTGGCCAATGAATATTGCCATAAAATAATCAGATCGACAAAATTTTAGTTAAGTTGAAACACACACAAAAAGTAAGTTTTTTTGCCACTCCTGTAAATTTTCAATTTTTTAGGAGGCTTAGCTCTATACGTTGTTCTGTCATAAGACGACAGAATTGTCTAATGTTTGCCAAAAAAACTAAACACTTCCCCATGAGTCCTAATACGAACAAATAATGAGATAAACAATGGGTGTCTCCATTGAGAAAAAAGGAGTGTCCAGTGTTCCGTAGTCTTGTGGTATGGCTACCGGACTCGTAATCGTGAGGTTGCGGATTCGGGCGTTCGAGCTTCAGGCGTCTTTTCACCCACGTGTGAATGAATACCTAGCCATAGACAGTGAAAAACTTGTCAGTGAGTGTTTTAGCACCTCTAAAATGACAGCGTGCACTGTACGTATCCCTGGAAGTTGAGATTGTTTCAGAATGTTATCAGGTCTGCTGGGGTAATGATACAGATTAAAAGTGGGCAGCGCTTTCTGTGGAGCTGAAATTTGCGCTATACAAAATGTTATCTAAATTTGTTTTAAGTTCATCTTTCGTGACTGCGCCTCCCTGCACAATATGACACTGGTCACAAATCAGTGACCTGATATAAGATCCACGCTACGAGCAGCTATTTCCGTAGTAATTAACTCTTTGTGTACCACGATTCAACACCCTGATGGCATTGTGGTGTGAAGAATACTAAGAGTGTACCCGTTTGGCTTTATGGAATTGGTGAACAGATTACGCCCAGAGAATTAGTACCAGTACAATTCTAGAGGAATCAAAGGCTAGCCAAGTTAATATTATAATATTTATAAACGACCCATTTTCTTTCCTTTTTCTTTTTA